TTTCTTATTTTTTTCAGAAACCTTCCTTAGCTTTGAGATTTTATCATAAACCCCCTACTTCCCTAAGTAGGTGATTTCATGATAACCCCTAAACTTAAGTGGGGTTTCTGATATTTTGAAAGTCAAGTGGGGTTTTTTATAATCATCCAAACTTAAAGAGGGGTTTTATGATACTTGCTCTTATTAAAAATTAGATAATCTGAGTTATATTTTTTCCTTTAAATAGTTCAAAACTTAAAAGAAATTCAGAATAAGGGAGTGTATGACTTTTATTTTAAAAATTAAAATTCAAAATTGGATAGTTTAACTGCATGTCTCTTCCTTACAAAAGTCCTTCTACCTTGTTGCTGCTGGTGGATATGGAATTGTTGTAACTATCTTATTTTTAAAGATAAAATGCCTAACCCTGAAAAGCTTGCAGCTAATATAGCGAGATACACTCTACTATGGACATGTGCGGAGGAAGATCGGCTGGCCAGAAGAATCCACAAAGCTGCAATCAAGCTAAATTTTGAAGATATTGCTAGAAAGAGAGTGTGGAGAAGAACTTGGAAAAGGCAGATTTTTGGTCATAAGTCGACTCATGCACAGGCATAAGTCGACTTATGGTAAGTCGACTTATGTTTATGTCGTAAGTCGACTTATGATCTGCTGTGGATTGTTGATTTTGGGCTCTGGCAAGTCGACTTATCAGACCTGTTAAGTCGACTTATGAACTCTTCTCCAGTTGTCGTTTTTCGCTCTGCCAAGTCGACTTATGCAGACTGATAAGTCGACTTACGACGAGTTTTTTGGAAAGTTCAGGTTCCTATTTGCAGTCTGTTTGGGTTTTTGTTTTGGTATAAATACCAATACGATTTGAGGGTTTTGTAGGAGCATATTTGGGGATTTTGGAGCACAGAAAAGAGAGATCTTTCTGAGCTATTGGTTAGGGTTATTGGTTGAGAGGTTGAGAGATTTGTTGGTGAGATTAGTTGGTTCGTTTGAGCGATTTGTAATCTTAATTTGTACTCTCCTTCTCTATTAGTGGAAACCCACCCCCTTCTTGCCCCGTGGACGTAGGCAATTGCCGAACCACGTTAAAATTGGTGTTTGTGTTTGTGCATTGATATTTGATTGTTTTTTACCTTCTTTGATCGGTGTTTGTTTTGGTTCCTCGGCGCCGCCGTCTGTCACGACAAGTGGTATCAGAGCATATCATTGTTTTTCCGGCACAACAAGTGGTATCAGAGCTCGGGCTACGCTTGGGCTATTTGGAGGAGTAGATCGCTTTGGAAGTTCGTCTAGGGCTTCGTTTGGTGATAAAAGTGGGATCTTTTTGGTAAAATCTCGTCTTTTTCAGTTTGGATCTATTTCTCGTTTGTTTCCGCATTGGTTTGGTGGTGTTTTGAGGATTATGGCCGAGAAAGAAGGAGTTGTGGGCAGTACTTCCGGCGTGAAGACCGTCCAAAGCTTGAATATCCACTCAATGAAGATTGATGTGGAAAAGTTCAATGGCACAAACAATTTTGGACTTTGGCGATGCGAAGTCATGGATGCGCTCAACGCGCAAAATTTGGAAGATACGTTGGAGTTGGACGGGAAACCGGACAACATTGATGAGAAGGTTTGGAAAAAGATGAATCGAACGGCGTGTGGTGTGATTAGGTCTTGTCTCACTCAAGATCTAAAGTATGATGTGATCAATGAGACTTCTGCAAAGAAGATTTGGGAGATCCTTGAGAGCAATTATTTGACCAAGAGTGTGGAGAATCGCTTGCATTTGAAGAGGAGGCTTTACCGCTTCCAGTTGAAGAAAGGAACATCCATTGGTGATCACATGAACCACTACACGAAGCTTCTTGCGGATTTAGCGAATGTAGATGTGGTGATTGAAGATGAGGACAAGGCGTTGTTGTTGTTGAGTTCCTTACCCGACGAGAAATATGAGACCTTCGTTCTTACTCTTATTAATGGGAAGGCATCTCTTTCGTATAGTGAGGTCACTGCAGCACTTGTGAATTATCAGCTTCGAAAGAAGGATAAGAAGACTTCGATTGAGCCAGTAGCGGGGGCGTTGGTTGCAAGAGCAAAGGGTCCAAACCGTAGTGGGAGGTCGCAGTCTAGAGGGGCACATCTTGGAGTTCGTAAGAATCAGTGTGCCTTTTGCAAAGAGGATGGACATTGGAAAGCCGAATGCCCAAAGTTAGTTGATCGAGCCGGGAAGAATAAGGGAAAAGCTATTCAAGCTTCAGAGGCGAATGTTGTCAAGGCTAGTGGCAACGATTCAGATTCGGATTATTCGGGCTACTCATTATCTGCACTGCCGTCAGTTTGTGTTGCCTACTCTACAGAGTGGATGTTGGATTCGGGGGCTACATACCATATTTGCCCTAGGAGGGATTGGTTCTCCAGCTTTCAGGAGTTGGAAAGAGGGGATTTCGTGCTCATGGGGAATGATCACAAATGCTCTATTATTGGTATCGGTACCGTTCGGATCAGGATGAGTGACGGGGTGATTCGGGAGTTGGTTGGAGTGAGGTTCGTTCCTCAATTGAAGAAGAACATCATTTCACTTGGAGCTTTAGAGGCAGCAGGTTATAGGGTGACCTTGGCGGATGCACGCTTGAAGGTTACATTTGGGTCCATGATTGTAATGAAGGGCGTCAGAAGAAGCAACTTATACTATTTGCTTGGGAGCACGGTGATTGATAGGGAGATGACGACTTCATCAGATTCGTCTAGACTGTGGCATTGTTTGGTGCTGGGGTATATGATTGGTAATGCCGTGCATTGGTTGTTGAGGAGTGCTATGACCTGCAGATTGAAGTCCTGTGAGCATATTGGGATGAGCAAGACCGTGGTGGAGGTTGGCATTCCTATCCATCGAGCGAGGGGTCTTTTAGGAGGTGTTCAGTCAGGCATTTGGGGTCCTTCCAAAGAGGCAT